TTTATTTTTTTTTTTTTTTTTTTTTTTTTTTTTTTTTTTTTTTTTTTTTTTTTGGTCTCTCATTCCGTTGATGTTTGCGCTCAAGATTGAGATCCACCGTCGAGTCCCTCGATGATGAGAGTTTTTTTGTCGATCCAGAAAATCAATGTAAGGACGAAAAATAAATCGCTGCCTTCTCTGTACGTGATGATCAAAAAACAAATAATGTACCAGCAAAAACAAAGTAAAAAATTGTATGCAAAAAATAAAATACAAAACCAATGTTATTTTCTTTCAATCCGATAGCAGATATAAAATAAAAAAAACTTATCGAGAGTGAGAGATGAGTTCGAGCAGAGTTATATCAATCGAGTATGAAATTTTGTGTTTGTGTTAAATTATCATTGATTACGTTCATTGATGATGCTACAAGCCAATTAGGTGATGCCAGTATACGTACTTTCATTTTACTTTAGCATTTATGTGTCGTGTATACCTAAAAAAATTAATAAACATCCACCACGTGTTCAAACACCCATATATCGTGTTACGTTGTTACTACATCGTTCACATAGGTAACTAATTTCTTTTTTTCTTTTTTTTTCCTCGCTTCGAAGTTTAAATGCACAAAAATAAATTTTCGAGTGTGGCGCTTTGTGTAGGTCAGCAAACAGCAGCAGGGTTGATAATAGCCAGGGTTCGTGCAGCACAGCTTGTCAGCAGGTTTGTGTGTCGTACATGAGTGTATATGTATTCCGTACGAGAGAGACACATATGGCTATATAGACAAGATAGACAGACAGAGAGATATGTGGTACGTGTGTGTATATATTTATATTCACTACTTTGCTTTTAATTTACAATTCGGCGTATCCGCTCCATCTCGTCTTTGCTTCAAATTTTTTAATTTTCAATCATCACAACGTGTATTTCACAAAATAATAGTAAGCCAAGGTTGAATGGAGCAAGTACGTGAATGGATAATAAAAAAAAAAAAAAAAAAAAATAATAAAGTTGTGCCGATGACGCAGCTTGCAGCGACGTTGTCAAACGACGAGGCATCCTTCTTAATCAAACTGCAAATTATTGTTTCTCTATATCTCTGTGTGTATGTGATGCAGAGAAAATTTGTCAGCAGTTAAAACAATTAATAAGAAAAATCAGCATTTATTTTTTTTTTTTTTTTTTTT